ACAGGACCCGATGGCTCGAAGCACACGCTTTGTTCCGCCTCACACCCTGGGTGTAAGTATAAGCAAGGGGCGCAAGATAACCCAGCTTGCGTCGGTGCGTGCGTGCGTGCGTGCGTGCGTGCGTGTGTGCGTGCGTGCGTGCGTGCGTGCGCGTGTACCATCGAGTCTCCCGCTACCGAGCTAGACAGAGACGAATTTTCAACAACACGTGTATTGTTGGCGAACACTACCTCGACATTCCCAAGTGACATTCTGAACTATGAACCATTTGTAAAGAATTACAGATAGACAGGGGAAGGGTGCGGGGGGTGGAATGAAGCGGCGTTTGATTGAAATCCTCATACTGACTCCGCGTTCATCATTCTCCATCTCTACTATCCGGTCTATGCTCTCGTTATGTTGTACCCTTAATCGAACACAGTCTAATATAACATGTTTTGCTGTAGGACCAATTTTGCTCGCCTCAACGTCTTTTACCCGTACTTGGCCTATGACGAAGTCGTTGCGGAGCCCACATATACGGTAATAGTTAAGCAATAAGGCCGTGAATTACCAGTAACAAAAACAGTTAAAAAAACGAGTTATTGTATTCTTGTATTAATAACGGGAACTGAGATCGGTATCAGGTAGCGCCTCGGAATAAACGACGCTCGTGTCGCTAGTGGCGTTGCCAGCCAAGATAAATGTTTTCGGCCAAACTTACCCGCTCAAAATGGGCAGAGGTATGTCCGCGACAGATGTGCATGGTAAAATCCGATACAAAAAGTTGGTCAGTTTGGTCGCAGCATCTCGCCACAATCCTCCATCTATACTAATGTACATGCTGCGTTGACGGGCACGTATGCAGGGTGTAATTAAGCGTGCGTCCGTTATGCAGCGTGTCGCGCCTAGAACCACTGTTGCCATGGTCGGTGCCGTTGCATGAGTGACGGCTGCTGCTGTGTTGTTGGGGTGAAGGCTGCTGTGTTACTGGGGTGAAGGCTGCTGCTGTGTTGCTGGGGTGAAGGCTGCTGCTGTGTTGCTGGGATGAAGGCTGCTGCTGTGTTGCTGGGGTGAAGGTTGCTGCTGTGTTGCTGGTTGCTGGGGGAAGGCTGCTGCTGTGTTGCTGGGGTAGAGGCTGCTGCTGTGTTGCTGGGGTGAAGGCTGCTGCTGTGTTGCTGGTTTGAAGGTTGCTGCTGTGTTGCTGGGGTGGAGGCTGCTGCTGTGTTGCTGGTTGCTGGGGTGACGGCTGCTGCTGTGTTGCTGGTTGCTGGGGTGACGGCTGCTGCTGTGTGGTCTGTGCTGGGGTGAAGGCTCGCTGCGGTGTGTGCTGGGACTGAGGGCTGCCTGCTGTGTTTGTCCCTGCTTGTGTGAAGAGTTGCTGCTGGGTGTTGGATGTGTGTCTGTGTCCTGGGGGAAGGCCTGGTGCTGCTCGCTCTCGCTGGGGTAGCACTTTTCTGTGTCTCGCTGGGGTCGAAGGCTGGTGCTGTCTGTGCTCTGCTGGTTGCGTAGAGTGCTGTTGGAGGCTGGCTTGCTGTGGTTTGCTGGTTCATGGAGCGCGTGCCTTGTCTTTGCGCGCGCGTCGCACGCGCTCGCTCGCTGTTTGGCTGATACGGTGACGTGCTGCCTGTGTTGCTGGGTGAGGTTGCTGCTGGTTGCTGGGGTGACGGCTGCTGCTGTGTTGCTGGTTGCTGGGGTGACGGCTGCTGCTGTGTTGCTGGGGTGAAGGCTGCTGCTGTGTTGCTGGGGTGAAGGCTGCTGCTGTGTTGCTGGGGTAAAGGCTGCTGCTGTGTTGCTGGGGTGAAGGGTGCTGTTGTGTTGCTGGGGTGAAGGCTGCTGCTGTGTTGCTAGGGTGACGGCTGCTGCTGTGTTGCTGGGGTGAATGCTGCTGCTGTGTTGCTGGGGTGAAGGCTGCTGCTGTGTTGCTGAGGTGACAGCTGCTGTGTTGCTGGGATGAAGGCTGCTGCTGTGTTGCTGGGGTGGAGGCTACTGCTGTGTTGCTGGGGTGGAGGCTACTGCTGTGTTGCTGGGGTGACGGCTGCTGTGTTGCTGGGGTGAAGGCTGCTGCTGTGTTGCTGGGGTGACGGCTGCTGCTGTGTTGCTGGGGTGACGGCTGCTGCTGTGTTGCTGGGGTGAAGGCTGCTGCTGTGTTGCTAGGGTGACGGCTGCTGCTGTGTTGCTAGGGTGGATGCTGCTGCTGTGTTGCTGGGGTGAAGGCTGCTGCTGTGTTGCTGGGGTGAAGGCTGCTGCTGTGTTGCTGGTTGCTGGGGGAAGGCTGCTGCCGCTGCTGCCGGCATGTTGTGTGAAGCTATTTCTGTGTTGCAGGGGTGGAGTCTATTGTCGCAGCTGGGAGGCACTCTGGGTCTCTACCTCGGCGCTTCGCTCATCTCGCTGGCGGAGTTTCTGCAGTTCCTAGTCACCGCCGTTAGCTTTATGCTCTGCACGAAGTCCGCTAACAATAACGTTGTTGTGCCGATCCAGCGCAATATACCAGCCGCGATACGTCCAACTGGGAATCCGGGCGATGAGTTACAATGACTGGTAACAGAATCATCACGGCAGTCAAATTGAGGTTTTAAAGCCTTTCTAGTCCAACGCATGTCTATATACCTTTACGTGTTTGCTGTGGCGTGCCACGTAGCTCAGCATTGTTATTGTAATCAACGCACTGTTTTGTTATTTACGGTTTCGCAACGATGCGATAGGATAAAAACGTGGGACCATTGCCGTGTAATTCACTGCGGTCGATAAAAAATATACATGTCAATTCAATAATTAATTCAGCATTCGCCCATTAGCTATACATACCGATTATATATAAATAAATAAATATATATATATATATATATATATATATACATATACACGAGCGCACGAGCGCGTATATATATATACGAGCGCACGCACAGGCACGCGCATGCATGTGGGTGCCATTTGTCAAGCCTCCGCATAAACCGTCGGAAGGTGGCGCCATAGTACTTAAGTATATCCCGTAGGTAAATAAGGATGCAGGATCACTTTCCCGCCGATTTATACTCTTCACTCATTAATATTCTAAATGAAATGTGAAATCAAAATGCGAAAATGTAAACGAGTGATATTATTATATTAATATAAGGGGCTACGAATATCTCTTCTTTTTAATAACACGTGCAGATTTTTCACATGCATCTTAAACTGATTTAAAATCGCATATTTCGCTTTAATTGAACTATTATTGTAAATGTTCTCATTCCCGGCATTCATCCATTTATAGATCCACTCACTGATTGGAAATTATTCGTGTGATAACTTACCTTGGACCTACCGATTTGTAAGGCAGGCTATGTAGTTGCGCGTGTGGATCGTTAGATGGCGCCACCAAACCAATGAAATCATTTCTAATGAGTATCAATTTTGTATATGTATAATAACATTTTATCATAAATTTTCTCATTGTCCTCCAGGTACGCTACAATTTATGTAACAGAATGCGCTCAAATACGTTTGCATAACTGCAGGAGCGTTTTTGGTTCGTATGTGTAACGTTACTAATGTTTGACTTTCGTTGGCCTCGCTTCACCAACCGCTGCATACTTTCGCTAAAATAATGATAATTGCACGCCGCAAAAGCTGCGTGTTGCGCGAACTTTCTGTTTGCCCATCAATATATGCCACCGGCGCCACTTAGCCCAGTCGGCTCCCGGTCGCTCAATCGTATAGTCTATTTAGAGTAACTACGTGGTCTGGCTATAGCGTGTGTAATGAATCGAAGTCATGTCTAATGTGGCCTGCGGCAACTGTACGCGGGCTATAGTACTATAGCTATGTCTAATGATTATGTGCAGGTGCGTGCTGCATGTAAACGGTGTCAGGTCACCAAGACTCTAACTCTACTGCTATATATAACCGTATGTAGTTACACAGATCTTTGTTCTAACTATCGACCTATATATATATATATCTATATCTATACGCATGTCTGTTTATATATGGATCTGTGCCTCGACCGAGACAATCGCTGTAAGTTATGTGGTTACTTGGGTGTTCTATTGTTCGAGCCGCTTCTTCCGTGAACGTCTTGTTATATATATATATATATATAACTAGGATATATATATCCAGCGCTAACTAAGACATATCTAGAGCTAACGGTTCTCCGAAATGTTGTCATATATACGGTCACCATGACACACATACATCACCTACATACGCGCACCATTAGGGCATATGCGCGTGCGAAAGCTCGAGCTAACGCTACGGATGTTTTGTCGAACACACCTTCTGTTTTAATGTAGTCGTAACGTATAATCACCCGCGGAACATCTGTTACGTGAGGTAAGGTATTCGCAGTGCCTAAACCTGCGAAGCCTGAGGGTTCCAAACAAATATTCTAGTTGTCTCAAACTTTAAAATGGTGATACAACCGGATGCACATATATATATATATATATATATATATATATATATATATATATATATATATATTATATATATATATATATAGTATATATATATATATATATATATATATATATATATATATATATATATATATTATA